GCCTAAAGTATTAGTGTTTAATTAAGTTAAAGGAATAAAGTTAGCGAACTTTAATTTTGTCGTCTTAGAGATCGACTGTGGAGAAATACATCAGACAAACGATTCAAATTTACGCCATCTATGATTTAATTTCGTTTCTTTTGACATAAGTGCGTGAATACTGGTTTATGGATAGAAGAATGGATACTGACTGGTAAGAAGTATTTAGAAAATAGATTGTAGTTTCTGAGTTTCTTTTTTGTTATTGTTACTTGCCAGAAACTTTTAAGTATATGAATCCCTAAGGTGTGTTAAATACGAATATTTTCACCGATGATCTTCAACTTCTGAACTATAAGTGATGTGTTCCACAAAACGCTTATTTATATGAGCAAGTAAAGTTTATGAATTCGTCTTATAAATTTGATTTTACATCATGTTTGTGTTGTAACGGGTGTATTGCAGGTTAGATGCGCAGCGTTTTATCGATCGATTACAGTGATACGGAAAACACGTAGTGAACGACCTAGTGCCCTGATTGGTCCCGCTTCCCTGTCTAACCCAGCCAGTTGAGTCCAGAATGCAAGTCACAGCATCTGAGATATGAATCGTTATATTTCAAACATACTCTGTTTATATACCAACCAAACAGACCACATCGTACCATAAAAATAGAAAACAACATCTGTACAATATTTAACGAGTGAAATAAATAATGGCCAATAGGGAATGCCCATTTTGAGTCCAAGGACATCATTAGACTTAACATGATAATGATTGGTATGTTCCTCGGTTTTGAACACGGTATTGAATCACTTCTCATAAACGAAGAATTTCCATAGCTGGGTTCCATTAATTAGAAATAGGAACTTAGTCCACGCTTTATCCTCAAGGATCAAGGGAATATATTTTACTGACACAATAAATGAGGAACTACTATAATTTCGTCAGATTCTCATTAGGAATGGTGGTGAGACTCTAATTTATGGACGACCTTTGAACGAATCCTAAGTGACCGTGGGAAATATTAATCAATCAGTAGACAGTCATTATAGAGTAAAAATATGTTATACAGAACCGAGGAAATAAAGTGGATACACTTCTTATACGTGGTTCAAAAACTTGCCAAGGTTAGAAAGAGATTCAGAGGTTCTAAAATTGTAATGTATACAGTAGAGGAAATCATCCATACGACTACAGAATGGTCGGCCTCTGGAGCCGTGATAAAGTCTCAAAAACTCTTTCAGCCTCGACCATATAGCTTCAATATTGTTTGAGTGTACTCCGGTTGTTGAGTGCACAAAATTCCACTTGTGGATAACGACACGATGCACATAACCAAGCCTATTTAGGAGTCTGTACGCTCTCCAAACATCCATATATATTGTAGTACCTGGCTGCAGCCAGTGTTACTGGTGCTTTTATTATCCAGTTCGCAATAATTTTCGTAATTTGTCTTAGTTAGGAATTATATATGCCAGAAATTTATTTAGCGAAATGGATGAAAGGCTTTCGCGTTAAAATCGGTGATCTATTATCCTATACCTGATTGATTCGTCCACAAATTATAGTCTCGCCGTTTTATTTGTTATAGCCGCTCAATTATCATGTTTTGTACAAAATTCCTTGTGAACCGACCGTACGTCAACCTAAAGCACTGAAGTTGGAGCGGTAACCTTGAAATCTCTAAAACGTCTCTGATTGGCTCGTCCATAAATTAGAGTCTTGCCCAAAAGAAAACTCTTTTTATGAATATGAACTTTAAAAGAAACTGTATCTGCTGAACTCTTGAATAAACGGATTTCAAAATCATTGAAAGAAATATACCTCTGAATTGACCAAACATTATCTTTGATAATTTTCTTTCAGATACTAATAATCGTTTAAAGTTCTTAGTGTGAACTGTGTAATAGTAGTTAAACTAAGAAACATTTAACTGTTTACAATTGAATCATTATTATAAAGTAATCAATATCGGCTACCTTATTCTTCAGCTCTTATCGAATCTTATCAAACAAGTTGTAATGTGGTAGGAAACTTTAGGAAACTCAATATCACATATACTAAGCTGACATGTTAAATGAATGAGAGTAGTCTCAATTTTTCAGGAGATAAGCCGTATTCCAAATAGTTCAGTGTTGAAGTCCTAAATTATGAAGCTAAATTTGAATACAAGTTCGAATCCCATATGAGAGAATCATTCGTTAACGATGTCTGACTAAACTGACTAAATTCTTATGTCATTCAGTGTTTAAATATTATTCTATTTACTAAACAACTTTAGAATTTTATTTTGATGAAGTTTTATTCACAGTTCTATCTGAAGTTTGTGCTGATGATGTTGTTCAGGAGAACAATGAAAGCTCCACGATCAAAACATCCAACTCAGAGAACTAAACTCCATCAAAATCATTCACTTGAGCTACAAATATTCTCCACTATCTTAAGATTTTATGATCAACGTAGTATGACATTATGAGTGTATCCACCTATCAGAAACCTCAACCTAGGATCGACCCAACTGCTCAGTATATTCTGGATTTTTTTGGTTTACGATAAAAAACAGCCTTCAAACAGTTAAAAATCTCCGCAAAATGCTTAAGCTAGTGAAATCAAGGGAATTCATATATACAGAATAGGTAATGTAATACAAATCAAGGACACAGTATCATGAATTGAAGTTCATTATGATCATATCACACATTCCGCGTGATTATTCCAAGCCACAATCTCTTTCTATTCCCTTCAACTCGACCTTCTTAGCTTTTAGTTGCCAGGCTTTCCATTTCTGATTGGTGTTACATACTACTTATTTCGATATACATAAGTAGTACATAAGTAGTACACAACAAGTGTTCATATATTTGTATTTATATGGATGTATTGAATCAAATCGAATGATATGATTCATATTGAAAATTGGTTATTACTGACGAAATAATTTTACTTAGTTATTTTATTGAAACACATAAACATTTGTACAAGGAGGCATCAAACAGATATGATTTTTGTGAGGGCTAGAGTACTGCTTGGTCACCAAAACCGAAGCAGGTAGATTTCTTAGGAAGCCACACCACGAGCCTTTGACCTAGAGGTGTAATTCACAAGGCAGTGGAACAATGTCAGGAGATGCAGTCGCATGGCAACCAGTGAACAACATTAGGTCCATACTCCATATGTTCGCCTAAGATGTTGGAGACCATGTACAACATTGGTTCGGAATAAAGGTTTCTCAACCCACCTAGGTGGATGCTCTGATGTACCCGCAGAACCCGTTAAAGAGCTGGTAGTTTGCTTTTCGTCTTTTCAACTTCATAAGTTGCACCTCCACCGCGCATATGTATATAATGGTTAAAAAATAACAGAGAACAGATTTTGTGCTTTAACCTGAACATCCATAGCAATGTTCACACGTGATCTCTTATTGGATCAACTTTGAAATGTTCAGTCAAACACTGATAATATGAGAAAATTGTTTCTTCATCATTGATCTATAATGTTTATCATATGAAAAACAGTGTGTTTTGTTAAATGTTTTCAAATGAAACAATTGCCAATACACTATCCTAAAGATGATATAATAGTGTAATGATGCTTATATACTGACATTGACATGTATTTATTCTAATATATTTGCATTCATTTTTTATGAATGAACATAAATGCGGGTGGTAGGTCAATGAACATTAACCATTATATTGTTTCTGCTTAAGTTTCTCAGTAATGAACCTTGGTTAGCTAATGTCATGTTCAATAAACAGAAAATCTGAACAATTTGATGAATGTTATAATCAGAAAAGAAATGGATCGAGAGTTGGAATCTTTGTCTTTTATTCATAGCTACACATCAACAATCACAGACTCGTTCGAAGTAAAGACTGGTGTCAGGCAAGGTTGCTTACTTTCATCTTTTCGCTTTCTCCTAATTGTCGACCGCATTATGAAGACGTCAACATCTAAGGGGGAAGTATGGGATACAGTGAACACATATGACGCAACTGGAAGATCTAGACTTCGCAGTTGATCTGGCCCTTTTGTCGCACATGCGACAACAGATGCAGGAGAAGACGACCAGTGTAGCAACAATAGGTCTGAACATACACAAACGGAAAAGCAAGATTATCCGATTCAACACAACATGCATCAATTCAATCACACTTGACGGAGAAGATTTGGAAGATGTAAAAACCTTTACATATCTGGGCAGCATCATTGATGAACACGGTGGATCGACAAAGCAAGAGCAGCATATCTACCATTGAAGAACATCTGGAACTCAAAACAACTGCCAACCAACATCAAAGACATAATTTTCATTACAAATGTCAAAATAATTTTACTGTATAGGGCAGAAACCTGGAGAACAATGAAAGCCATCATCCAAAACATTACAAGTGCTTATCAACAGTGGTCTACACAAATAAAATTGAATGCATTGGCCAGACGAAATCAGCAACACCCTGTTGTAGGAGAAAATAGACCAGATCCTAGAGGCCGAAGAAATCAGAAAGAAACGCTAGAAGTAGATAGAACACACATTGAGAAAAGCACCGAACTGCGTCACAAGGTCAGCCCTCCTTTGGAATCTTCAATGCTGAAGGAGAAGTGGAAGACCAAAGAACACATTTTGCCGAGAAATGTTAGCAGATATGAGAATAATGAACAATCATTGGATAGAACTTTGGAAAGAAGGTCCAGGACAAAGTCGTTTGAAGAGTGCTACATGATCTTCACTTAGTGTTTTGAGAGTTATACTTACTTACTTACTTACGTCTGTTACTTCGTGAACTCGAACTGAGGACCTATCAGTCTTGTTCACAAGGGAGAGAATGGTGTTTATGTTGGTTATTTTCGTAGATTCGTTGAAGTTAGACATTTGACCGATTCAGTGATCTAGTGGTTAAGCACTCGTTCATGAAATGGATAAGCCCTCAGTTTGTATCTGATGAAATGTGATCTAGTTTCAATGAACTCATCAATTGAACTATGAAAGTAACATGATAAATTAAAACAATTCACAATTAATTTAATTACTGATCTCTTTATTTTTATTTTTAAAAAAAATGGTGTGATTGTGTTCATATTGTTACTATAAACAAATAATAAAAGTAAAACTAAGCAACTCATAAAACAATTTTTCCCTCTTTTGTTTCTTTGTGAAAAAGAAAAAAAAATATACTTGTATACCTTCTACCTATTTGTTTTGATATTTTAGATGAATGAAATGAAAGACCATTAATTCTTGAATGTTGTATTCATTCTAAATGTGTATGTGTCTGTGTGTGTATGTGTGCGTGTTTGGGGGGATGTTTGAAAACAATTGTGTATTACATGTTATTGAGTAATTTGTGTGTGTATGTATGTGTGTCTGTGGTATGTGTGTGTGTGTGTGTTTGTTTATTTTTTTATTTTTTGCATGATCACCGATTTTTATATTATACAAAAAAGTTTAAATAGAGGAGATAGATGGATAAAAAATAGCAAAGGATCTATATATTTATATGAAATAATCAAATAGTAATATTGAATGGAGAGAGTGTTGGTGGGCGGCCCCTATGTTCCTCCATGAAGGGTAACAAATATAAGTAAATAAGTCATGTTGGGAACAAAAAAATTTTTCAAAAAAAAATCGATAATAGATAATTGACAACAATGAAGGAGTTGTTTAAACATTTCCCCCCCTTTTTTTTCAAGGTATCTATTGCTGTACAATAAAATGAATTTATGTTACCAAGTTAATAGAATAAAAGGGAAAAAAAACAGGAGAAGGTTATCAATCAATTAAAAAAACAATTTACAATGATGTAATATAAACAATTGAACCATTTATAATTTAATTGTAATTTGATCTTCACTACTATCAGATCGTTCAATATTTAATAATGATTGATGAACTGATTGACGTTGTAAATTAGTTGAAGGTAAATATCGATTATTATTATTATTATTGGTATTATTATTATTATTATTATTATTGATTATTTCATCGGAATCCGATTTAACTCTACAAATCACTACTGATGGTTGATTAAGATGAATTTTCATTTCACTTTTTGATGATGATGTTGTAGATGATAATGATAATGTTGAATGACTAGATTTTCTATCAAATATAAAAGGTTGATTATCCTCATTATTATTATTATTATTATTATTATTATTATTATTATTGATTGATGAAGATATAAATTTGGATGATTGATGATTAGGAATTATATCAATGATTTTATGTAAATCTATATTAGATGATCTCAATTTGTATTGTTGATCATTTAGATCAGATGATGATCTAGATTCACTTTGTTCATTCATTAAATAATATTTTTGTCCATTTTGATTACTAGGTAAAAAGAATTTTTTTACTACATCCCTTTTTAATGGTGACATTGAAATAGATTTTGAATAAGTTGATTTAAGATCAAGTTTATTGATTGATGAATGTAATTGATCATGATCTGATTTATTAGATGAGAATGAATTTCTTACACTAGTTGAATGAATCATTTTAGTGGAATCATGTTGAATTGTTGTATAATTACATGATCTAGAACTGGAACGTTGATGATTAGATATAATAGTTGGTGAAGTGATTGATCTAATACGTTTATCTATAATACACATAGAATCTGTTTGATTATTATTATTGATCTGATTACAATTTATATTTTCAAATAAAGAAGATTGGGAAGGGAAGAACACATTACGTTTATTTCCTTCAATCATATTATTTTTACTAGAATCAATATTGTTAGTAGATGTAGGAATAGTATCTACAAAATAACCATTATTACATCCATATGATTGATTATGTAACTCTGAAGTATTATCTGAATTACATATAGAATCTGGTGACATAACAATAGTAGATAAATCATCTCGTTGATGTTTCATTATTGGTTGAGCAACTAGAACTTCAGGTTCCATTAGTTTACGATAATTTTCCTACAAGTTATAGGAATATAGAAAAAAAGTCATGCTGAATATTGCATATAAATTGTTCATATTGTGCATAAAGATATATATTGTAAGGTTGATTTTCTAGTGCATACTACTTATGTCGATAGATATCAGTAGTATGAGACATCAACCAGATATAAAAAGAAAATTTGGTAGCAGAACGTTTTGAAGATCAAATTAAATAGAATGGCAATGTAAACAGAAAGTAATAACCATGAAGAAACGATGAAGTTTGAAACAACTGATGGAAGATTTGTCAACGAAATATTTAGTGTATGGTTGTTACATAGTATGAAACAACTTGGTAATTATGCATTGAATAATAAGTTGGTTCCCTCACATTTCAATGTTGGTTCACTTTGGTTTTACATTCGTTAACTAAAATACTTTTGCTCACAGAGTTGGTTTAATATTAGGCAAATCAATAATTATGAGTATGATGTCTGAGTAGATTGTTGAATGTTGTTGAGATCATGATGCAATTTAAGATAGACAAGTAATGAAAGCCTATAAGCACTGAACGACTTGATGGATTTTCCATTTAGTGAACAAGCACAACCTCATTTATTATCATTATTATTATCTAATAACCGATTATTATCAGTTTTAGTGAGATATTTTCAATCATAAATTTTGGTTTGCAAATCTAGTATCAATATCCTTCTGAAAATTTGTGTACCACCTATCTAATTACACTAATGTAACATAAGTTGGATGAATATTTTTATTCAGAAAAGAAAAGACTAATACTAAAGAATTCGCTATATCTCGACGCGAATATTGAATGGTAACTATTTGGATCTATTTCTGGACTAATATGATACATATATTCTTATTGTATATTTGTTAATTAGTTGAACTATTCATATTCGTATTCCTCTTATTATAAGCTTCATTTTGACTTATGAACTATTATTATACGATTTACCATAATTGAGTTATGACCAGTCTATCGATTAATATCTCCCACATTCACAGCCACATTTGGTTAAATCTTGTACAAATGTTGCTTCCTATTTTATGATACGATATGGTCTGTTTGATTGGTGTATATTAATCCAGTATGTTTGAAATAAATGATTCATATCGTAAAGGCGGAGATTGATGTTCTGGACTTAAAAAGCAGGGCTAGGTGGGAAGAAGTACTGTTAAAGACTCTAGACTGTTCCTACAGGTTTTATGCATGATTGATCCGGTCGATAACTCATTATTCTCCAATTGGCGGTATCATTACGTTAACAGGGCATAAAGCCCACAAGTTATAACAGTATTTCAAGGCAATCATGTTAGACACTAAAAGTAATGATTTGAGTTTTATTATACACCCATTGATGTCATTCAAGTATGTCATGGATTGTGAATGATTTTGTTCTTTATATGAATGAACATCATAGTTGATCACTTGAATGACCTACCAAACATTCTTCATAATAAATCTATGCATAACTTTGGATAAATTCATCTTTGGTATTTTAATATAGGCATTTATTATAATCTATGAAATAATTTTACGACAGATGATAATCTATTTTCAGCCAAATTCATTCGAACAGATTCTAGTCATTGTCAGTGTTACATGTGTTAAGGTTTCATGGAGCATTAGTCCTTGCAAGACCGTAAACATATCTCATTGCCGAGTGCTTCTATGCATCCAGTATTCACGTTGTTTTGCTACTGAGGTATGGCAACTTGAATCGATGGAAATATGTTCCTAATCCTACGTTGTAGCTGACTTAGTTTACAGATTTATTGATTAATAACGTAACACTCTTCATGCTAATAAAAAATTGAACTGACTATACACATTGTAATTATTTACATCTGGTTAATTAAAGAGCCATGATTGTTTAACTCATTAATGTTAATAGGATCTTATCAATTCATTCATTCTGTGGTTCCTACTCTGAATGATTCGACATCTCATAAACTATGTTGAGATACATAGTGATTGAAAGCAGTAGGTGGTAAATATTACTGAATGTAAGTTAAATACTGGTTGAAACTTGTTATTAGGGTGCATTTGTAATGTTGAGGAAATCGATGCTTTTTATCGGATTGGAGCTAAGGTCATTCAAAATTTACAGCCTGAGATGTTACCAACGAGCTGTTCGAGCAAGAATTGACTTCTTATAGAATTAAAATATTTGTAATTAATTAATAGTAGAGTAGCTCTTCTAGAGTTACTGCCGGTCTCAAGCTCGGGTAAAGGAGAAGGGTTGGGCATGGAGTTACTGACACCATCCCGTAGAAAACTAACTCTCTAATAAAAAAAACGCTAATCAGAAAAAAATAATCCAAGTAACTTTCCATCTTTAAATATCAGCGTGTAATGAAAAAAAACTGTTGTGTCAGTTTATAGTTTCGATTAGACTGAATTACCTTTGCTGATTCAATTCGTGCAATCCATTCATCACATTTAGTTCCAGCAGAAAATATATATAGATTAGCAATATTATGAAAATCATCTAGAATTGCGCAACCAAAAACACCTACAAGAAATTAAACATAAACGTATAATTAGAGAAGGAAGGAGAACAATGAAAATTGGATTACTATTTCTAAACGGTAGTGAAGTTTTAAAAAACTCTCAGTAATTGATATCGACTGAAAAGATGATCTCAATTAGTGTAGTTATAAAAAGTATGTATATAATATGTATTACCTATCAGTCATTAATGTGAGTATTTTGCATGAACCTAAGCAAGTCACTACTTAGCGTTATAAGAATTAGGTATACTGTAATTCAAATCTACTACGAAATGTTTTATTTTTACTTGGCTATTCGGTTGACTTATTTAGCGCACTAACTGCACTACTTATAAATATTCAGTAGTTTGAGCATCATAAATGATCTCTGTGATGTTTATGCACCTATTCATAACAATTTACATATCTATTTGTCAGATTGAAATCATGAGTCGATTGAAGCTAGACCACTATGGAGAACCTAGAAGCACCGGACGGCCGTTCCGTCCTAGTATGAGACTCCTCAGCGGTGCGCACCCAAGATCCTGAACCCTGCGGGATTCGAACCCAGGATCCAACGGTGTTAATGTCTAACTTCAACCAATCCACGAAGTTGCATCACCTTATACCATTGTCTTCAGTAAGCTGATATCTCACAACAGACCCGGTTGAACTCCATTGGTAACGGCTTCCCACTAGAACTCCAGGAGTATCTCTTGAAGTCAGTCACTAGTGATTTCAATCTGTGAAATTTCTAAAATCTCCGCAAACCCCTTCTGATAATATCTATTTATGTTTTTATTTTAATGTTTTAGTTCGTTTTCTCACTTAGAACTGGAGCCCGAAGACCGCACAATTTAAGGTTTTCCCTTTATTAGTGCTTATGTTTTTATTTGTAATAATACCATCTGTTTACGTTCTCTGTCCTTATTCACTTCCCTTCAATATTTTTGCATATTGTTTTATACTACTAACTAATATTCAGTAAATATTTTTTGATTGAGATCATGAACCGATTGATGTTAGACCACCAATGAAAACCTGGAAGCACTGGATGACCGTTTCATTCAGGCTTTTCCATGGTGGTCTAATATCAATCGGTTCATGATCTCAATCAAAAACTTAACAATCTCCACAACCCCTAAACTGATTCAGTAAATAATTGTATTCCTAGCAATTTCCAGGCTTATGTTGTAACGTAATTTCGTCGTGCAGTATTCTAAAATGCTTACATATAACAATTATTGTATTTATCATTTTAATTACTTTCCTTCAAACCATGGAAGCAGTAATTTTCAACTTTTTTATTCGTCATTTATTTGTTGTTTAGACATAACAGTTCCCATAGTGTTTGTTTTTGATCTCGTATTTACTTGTTGATAAACTGTTATCAAGATTAGACGCACACAACTATTAGCTATCATTCGCAGTATCCAAGCCTTTTTTGTTTCAGACTAATAAACGTGCAAAGCGATACAAGTTGGAGTTTGTAGCTAATTTATGTATATTACTCAACATAGAACATAGCTGAGATTCAATACTTGAAAGAATCATTACTATAGACTTAATAGATTATATTTAAGGTGCCTATATTATATATCAAAATGGTTCGTATCTAAAGAATTCTCAAATTCTTGTATCTCTGTACATTTACTTAATATTCTCCTATTTTCAATAGATTATTAACCAGTATCAATAATTCATTAGGAAAATTGCTTTCATATTCTATGACGCTTCTATGAAATCACTTCAGTTAACGAAGAATAATATCAAGTATGTGATATAGAAACATCGGCAATTTCTTTCTTCTTCCATTCCTTTTTCTCTTAATTATCACTTACAACTAGTGTGAACAAAGAGATCATGAGTCAATTGAAGTTAGATCACGATGGAAAACCTGGAACCACTAGACAGCCGTTGAGTCCTATTGTGAGACTCCTCAATAGTGAGCAACTACGATACCAACTCGCGAGATTTGAACGCAGGACCTATCAGCCTCGCGCGCGAATGCTTAACTACTAGGCTTTTTATGATAGTCTAGTTTCAATTGACTCATGATCTCAACCACTGAAAGTACTACAATATCCACAAAAACCCTTATGATATGAATTTTTCTAACTGTTTGTGCGTTATGGTCTGGTTAGTCATCTATTTATTAATGTATTTTTTTACACTAATTTGAAATCGGAAACCAGATCGGAATTGGAAATATAATCGTGTAATGTTCCAGTCGACTTATCTTCTCTTTCACTCATGTGCTTGTCAGTCAATCAGGTGATAGAATAGTTTTCATCTCTCTATCCTAAAGCAGTTGGTCTCACTTCGAACTCAAGCATACTAGCCTCAAAGTTAAACCAGTTAACCTATCGCGTCAAGGTCTTAATCTAGATTCAGACAAGTTATCCTCTGCACAAAAAAGGGGAGACAAATCATGGACGTTACAATAACCAAATCAGTTTCAAATATACATTTAAATCCCGCGAGGCGGAATTGTGGATGCACACTGCTGAAGAGTTCCACAATAGAACAAAATGGTTGTTTAGTGCTTCCAAGTTTTTCATTGTGGTCTAGCTTCAAGCGATTCATGATCTCAACTATTGAAATTACTATAATATCCACAAAAACCCCTTCTGATATACATGGAATAAATAAAAACAAAGTAAAATATTCAACTCACCAGTTTCACGACCACGTTGAATAATCAACTTATCTAATCGTATAGGACTTTTTAATAATTTCCAATAATCATTACCATCTTTCTTATGTTGCTTAGTAATTAAAAATAAATCAGTCAAAATATGGCAAACAGTTTCCACCGACTAGAAATTAAACAAAAAAAAAGAAATAGAGAGAAAAAGAGAGAAAAGAAAACTACAAGCTATGAATATACTTTATGCAAAGAGCAAAAACAAAGATTCTAACAGAATAGCATGAATTCATTCTATTTCGTTTAGTTCTCATCATCTGTGTACAACCTGTGATATTTAAAAACTTCAATTACATAATGAGTTTAAATTACTTACGTGAAAGAGTTTGGTTGGAAGTTATATTGAAGACACATTAGTATAGTATAGTAAGGGTGTAAATAAATGGAATAGACTGAATAGTGTAAATATATACCTTATGCGATGAAAGAACATTTTAAACCATTGATTGTGACCTTATAGGATTGCAAAGTATCGACCTGATGTTCTATATCAAGGAGATGTTTGGTAATTGCACTATTTAGAGTTTTTCTTTCTGTTGTTCTGAAGCTTTTGGAACATGTTCAAAAAATCTGAGATGTGCCCTCATTTCTGTTTGACCAATGTAGCTGCTTTGGCAGGTGCACATAAACTTGTAAATACAGTTGGCGGTAACATGAAAGGGGTGCTTGTCAACCACGGATTGAGTTATTGAACATGTTGTATTATATAGAGAATTAAGAGTTTGGCCGCTGGATAAGTTCGGGATAGCTCAGTATTCAGTCTCATGTTGATTATGTGTGTGACATCATCACCTTTGAAGTTAAGATTTATAGATAGTGATTTTTCATTGACCGTAATTACCCCATCTTGTTTTCTTCAGTTTATTTTTATTTGTCGAAAAACCTTTGTGAGTAAAAGTTGTGTCTTAGGGATTTTTCCACGTTCATCAATTCTTCTTTCAAATTGTCGGTGGTATATATCTTTTCTATCCTATAAAATTGTGTTTTAATCAATACGATCTTGTAGATGATTGGGAAAAAACTAATGACATTCAGGTAAAAGCCATTTCAAGTACTTTTTCGATAAACCGAACGTTGAACTGTCCCGTCTCTCATACGTTTTATGGCAACATCAACAAAGTGGAATATGCCATTCTGTTCGTATTCCATAGTATATATGCATAGTGTATATTCATCTATACATATGTTTATTCATACTGATGAGTTAATTCATTGTATCAACGTGTGAGATCTTGGATGAAGTGATGCTTTCTGTTGGATTCATAGTCCAATCATTCATTTTCACAATTTAAGACTTTACCGTTAAGCTATTGAGACCATAGTTAATTTCTTGTAGATCTGAGATATTTGCTATAGATTGATCACAGAGTATTGAACATTGTCAATCCATTGTAAATATCTCAATTCTACAAAAGGTCATTCTCGATCTGAATATTTCATTTTGTATAATCTTAGGCTGTAAAACAAAATGATAAGAACTTTAAATCCGATAAGGAACATTGGTTCTTTTAAATACAGATAAACTTTGGTGACTGTTGTCAGCTAGCAAGAAACCCAAGTCAAGTAGAATTTCTTGTTAATTAACTAAACGTTTTTATTTGTTTATTTTATTTAAACACATAAACATTGATAGAAGGAGGCACCAAATAGATATGTTTGAGGACTGGGATACTGGCCGGGTGCCCGAAACGAAACAGATGGATTTTTAGGAGTCCACTCCCCGAGCCTTTGACCTTAAGGTCGAATCCACAAGGCAGTTGAACAAAGTAAGGAGATGCAGTCTCACGGTGGACGGTGACCAACGATTGGTTCATAATCCATTTGTTTCGTCAGTATCATGAAGCTTATGTGGAACATTGGTTTGGAATCAGAGTTTTCCAACTCCCCTAGGTGGACTCTTCGTATCCACCATTCCGGTCAAAGTGCCGGACATTCGTTTTTCGTCCTCTCAATTTCGTAAACAATAGTAATGCCACAAAAAGGCAGTGAGTAGGACTTCTCTGGAAATGGTTGTATGCACATGGCCATATGAGAGCATTTGGAGAGGGAAAGCTGACTCCACGCACTCTCGGCCATACCAGGGCATTTGGGGGAAACAAAAACTACGTAACGTTAAAACATATACACGCAATATCAAGTTATTGCATTTTTGGTTTTGTGCGACCGTTTAACAGGCCCTCCCTAGAAGTATCAGCTATATTAAAAGGCTACCATATATCGCTGTGGAATGGTTACCCTCCGCTCTATATTGCGAACGAATTTCAACTTTCTGTTCTTTAGAAAATTGTTCTCATCACACTACTATGAGGCTATAGGTTCCATGTGATTTGTGGATACATGGTTGTGTGTACTATTGCAAAGATTCAAACTAGAATAAAACACTTAAATGGTTAGTATTGAAAAGTAATCTTTTAGAAGAATGTAAGAACCTACTGAACTGAAATGAAGTCATTTATAGGATAGACTAAGAGGAGAATCAATTCAACCCATTGACTAATTGTAAATGTATATACTCGCCTTTGAGATATTTGTTTAAGAAGTAATAATAGCAGTAGACTGTTTAAACTAAAATAATTGAAACTGGCTTTGAATCATTTGTTCCACTAGTTCCAAAGTTGAATGATTACACATTTAAGTCATTTACTAAATAACGGTAATTGTGAGATTTTGTGCGTGCATAAAAATTGCATGTCATTCCTAGTTGAATTGTCTGTAGAAGCCTTCAATGCCTTCACAAGACGAACAAGGACTATAAAACTAATAAAACAAGGTAAGAATAATTAATAAATTTAAAGATTATTTTAATTAACTACTTACACGATTCGGTGGTTCTTTAAATCGTAAATTTCCTCCATATAATACAGTACGTTGAATAGTTCGCCTACAATAAATATCTGACCAATCATATGCAAAAGAATCTGATAATTCTGTATCAATAGAAAGTGATTTTTGTAATCCACTACCTTCAGAGATACGTGATAACATTACCGGAAATGAATTGGATTCATTTATTTGATTAGTTAAATTATAAATTCTTGAACGTTGTTTCAAATGTATCGGTGATGTATTATCTGTTGATACTGTTGATGATGTAGACAATGTTTGATTACAATCACCAATACCGGAATCACTACGATTACAACTAGTTGTTGTATGATTTGATATAGTTCGAGGATCTGATATTGAATTATTAGAAGTGAATAATGATGAACCACTTAAACGTCGATTACGTAAAAATGCTAATGATTTTGTACATGAAGGTATAGTTTGATGTATGGTATTATAATCATTAAATATAATCACTGGAGTTGGTAATTTGATTGGACTAAGGATTGAAAATTTAAATCTGCTTTGTTTTATTCATCAGAAAATAAAAGAAAAAAAGAAAAATAATCACTAGGGTTAGATACTACTTTAAAATGAAATAACATAAGTTTTATATTTTATATATGGATTGTGTATTATTTGAAAGGAAAATAAAACACACTTTGTGGAGATAGATGCTGACTGGAACACACTTTCTGGATAGATCAAACTCTGACCGAGAGGATTTAGTCAATGATTATAACGACGTTTGTTAAGATTTTTGAGTTTTATAGTTTATAAGACGAACTGACTAAAGTTAAAAAACCTTTAAACACCATAAATCAGTTGTTCTAGTGTGACACTATACATAAATGAGGATCAGCGACCATAATCGGATCTTTAGATCTTATAGTGAGGGGTTAAACTTTAGACCTGTGAATCGTCAGCTAGAGATTTATGGTTCTAACTTCAATCAATTCATAAGATTGAACAACCATTGTTCGATGTCATTGTTAGGTAGACGCTCTACACCCAATATAACTCAATTACACTATTCATGGTTTCTCATTTCTGTAATTTCTGAGTTTTAATGGTTGTCCAACTCATTGCAGTCCATGTTTCAACCTAAGAATTTAATCAACAATTATAGTTACACAAAACAACACAGGTTTCTAATCTGTGATCAAATTAGATGTAGCCAGATGGATTTCATAAGATTTTGATGACTAATTGGTTAATGGTTTTTCATGGAGATACATGTACCTAAATTTATAGGCAAGGATGGATAGTGGCTAGCAGTGGAATCCAGGACGCGTGTCTCGTCCTGTCTCACAAGGCAAGCCCTCACATGGAATCCACAAGGCCAAAGGAAAAGAGGAAGACCAAAGAATACATTACGCCGAGAAATGTTAGCAGACATGAGAAGAATGAACAACAACTGGATAGAACTAGAAAGGAAGGCCGAGTACAGAGTGGATAGAAGAATGCTAGTCGGCAGCCTACGCTCCTCTTACCTCTTCTCAGAAATGTTCTACGCCTGCTTCACGAATAGGAAACCGAAAAGCGAAAGATATGAACACGGGCTTCACTTCTAGGGTTAATTCAAATAATTAAAATAAGGATATTTGCAGGTTTGTGTATGACTGTGATACTCTAGGAGTACCGGGGTACATGCTAAAATTAGTAACAAAGTTGGTGATTATGGAACAGGGATATGACACGTAACCAAACATTACACATAACTCTCTAGTGACTTTATATTAAATCTTGACTGGAAGGAGAACTATCAGTCTTTTCTTAGCTTTTAGAGACTTTTCTGAAGAACTTTTGAAGGCTCTCAATGTCATCACAGTAGAAACCAAGATATATGTTTTGTCTTGTTTGTTAAGATTTACACTAAGACTCGAATTCATTGCTTTTCACATCAAATGACTAAAACATTATCCACCTAGCAACTGAGTTCAGATAAATATTGGATATGAATTTCGTTTAACCTATTTCTTATTTTAAATTTGATTATGAATTCAGTAAGAATTACCAAAATCATACATTAATAAAGTGATGAGACTATGTCCAAATTGTTAAACTCACGTACATACATAGTGTGATATTCGCTAATATATAAAATGTATTCTATCTCTAACGTTTGTTCCACCCAAATGTTAGTGATCATATTTATCTATGGGCTTGTATGATTCAGTATTACAGTCAATGAGGTTGTATTTAAATTATTTTAGCCGCCTAAATTAAAGGATTATACTTATCACTAAGTATTCACCAATGTTTCCATTGTCTAGCCATTGACGCTGATCATTTATCATCGATCAAATAACATTAAGTTCATCACGTTGCGTAACTTGAATTTCTGTGATGCTAATTTAATAGCCTATAGCCATCACTTCCAAAATTAGTTTCGGTGTAGATCTAGACCTAGATACAAGCTAAACAATGGTTTAGAAGGCTTTTTGAAAAACTGGTAAACTCAACAATAAATTGTAGATTTTTATGGAATAGATAAATTTTGGCTAGGAGTAAAACTCAGTGTGTGCATTCCTTCTGATTTGGGATTTCTTAGTGTTGATTACTTTCTTAGTCTAAAACTAGAACTCAGCTACTTACGGTTCTACAAGAACAGCAGATAGTGATTAAACGCCACAATATAGATTATCTTGGATCAATGCATGTACGTAACTACTGAAATCATTTCGTTCGGGAAAACAAAATATCAGACAGAGGAAATACAAAGAAAGTTAGAGAGTTTTTAAAAGCATGGCACTCTGATAAAGCATCAACAAATAAATATTTAGGGATTGACCTAATCTGCCAACTAATAGGGAAAGGGATCAATAACTCGACGATTTGAGATCAGCTTAGAAATTAAATCAATCAAAGTAAACATAAAAACACCGGCCACATACCTATGGAAAACAACCAACCAAATCCAAGGTCAAAAAAGTAAACTACTAGTCGATTGTGAAGAAAGCTTAGTAACTCACTTCTTATGGATATATGTGCTGATGATTTTATTGAAAAAGACAATGAAAGCTTTACAAATAAAGTATCTAGCTCAATGACCAAAATAACCTCAAAATCATCATCTTCAGCTACAAATATTTTTCACTAGTTTGTTTCAAGTACCCAATATCTTATTCACTGATTTCTTGAATTCAGATGATCACTGCTTTGTGTAATGATTGCAACGGATGCTTATTGAGATAGTGGAGAAGATTTGTAGCTCAGGTGAATGATTTTGATGGATTTTTGTTATTTGAGCTGGATGGTTTGATCGTGAAGCATTCATCGTTCTCCTGAACAACAACCTCAACACAAACGTCAGGTAGAAGTCTACTCTGAATAGTTAAATCTTAATTTGTATATTTCTTAGCTTTTGTAAAATTTCCGGTTGATAATTATAGACTTGGAAGTAAACGTTCTATTGTATTTCTACTTACTTTGTATAAGATTTGATGGGAAAGGTGGATTAATAGGACCATAGTAGCCGGTTAGCAAGTTAATACAATCAAACTTCAGTAGTGTAGCAGAGGCTAAAACAGCCTCATTTTTATTATTTAGCCAGTGAAGAAAGCATAAAAATCAACCAAGCCACCGTTTGTTGCCACATTATCAATTTAAAATCAAGTTTACTTTGAGGTCATAAAATACATTCAGTACAATATCTAATTGTTGAAACCAATCAGTATGATCATGTACAGTAAAACAAAAAAAAATCCACAAAATTTCATGATTTCATTGAAATTCGCTGACGTTTACAACCTCTTAGTGAAAATCATCATGTGATTGCTATTGGCTAGCAGTTACACACAGAAGACAATGGAAGATAATTGTGCAATGTCGTGGATTAATTAAGGTTAGATATTAACACCATTGAATGTTTGCTTAGTAGTCAAGAGGTTAAGCGTCCTTGCGCAAGACGAAAAGTTTTGAGTTTGGTTCACACTCTCAGAGTCATGTTTGTACACTGTTAGGAAGTTCTATAAAAGTACGAAACGACTGTTCAGTACTTTTTAGTTATCAATGTTGGTTCAACATTCCTCGGTTTATCATTTCAATGAAATTCAGTTATCTTCACGACCCCTTACAGACAATAATAAACATTATAATACTACACTCTTACCTTGTATAATCACTAATCAACTGTGTATAATCATCAATATTATTGTCTAAAAAATCACAACATATTAATTTTGATGCCAACATTTCTAAACTTTCCCATGTTTTTGTTTCAGTCATCATTTGTTGATTAATTTCCTCAATGAAATCACTAATTGACTTGTACTGTATATTTTGAAAGAAAAAAACAAAAGATTAATGGAAATGAATAAAGCTGGAAGTAGATAGTAATAATATAATTAGTAATAATTACCAGTATAACAAGAAGGTAAACTTGATATGAAAAAGCGAATCTGTGATCAAGATCATATTTATTCGAGCCTTTAGTTGCTATATGATCACTGATCTAAATGATTCATGATCAAGTATACTGCGGTGAATTGTTAGATGATGATTCGAGGTAATTGACAATATATCCAGTTTGATCTACGTTTTATGTTGGTTGAAATTCACCAGTATCTTCAATCTTGAGAGAGAACTAACGCATCCTACAGTTTGATAGATAGTATTCGGATAAACACCAAGGACTAATCAAAGATTATTTCGATTAACAATCAGCTATCAATCCATATTAAATATCTCAGCGTTACAGGAGTTTGGTACTGATCAAAATGGTGCAGTGGTGACGTTTCTGACGGTGAATTTGGATAACACGAGTTTTAGTCTTATAGGAAACATTACTCATTCAAGAATGAGGATGTTTTGTTGACGAATATGAACTTGCATGATTGCTAAGTCAAATATCGTTTTCTGCTGATTATCTCTTAAAATCTGGCAAAACAAACAAGCGATTCAATAAACAGTTTCGGTATCCTTTTCAAACACTCGTAATAATATAGAATATAATTTGTTGCTTAAAAACTGATGTAAAAGTCAAACAACATATAAACCTCTTCTTAGTACTTTTTCATTAGTAGTCTATTGAAGAATAGGGGATGGAAACGTTGAGATTAATGATTACATATATAGTATTAACGTAAAGTGTATATATGAATGTTGAATATCAAGAGAATGATGCAAACTGAATTTCTAAAATCTGAGTTTTTAGATTGTTTAGAAGGATTTATTTGATCGAGCTTCTGGGTTGCTTCTCGAGTTGGCAGTTGATTGATAACCTTTTCAAAGATAAATTGTAGCTTTAAGTCATTTGGATACATATGTAACAGCATGTTCTGAATTGTAAGTCAGATTTATAATTGAGCTAATGGTTTCACTCTTTCTAATCCCGTCTTCAGTTATTAATTTACGTAGATGTCAAAAAAAGAATACAGACCAGTCAACAGTTGAATTTGGAATTTTTCATCAATTCTAGTCAGGTCAAAGAACACATTACGTTGGGAAATAGAATCAGATATAAAAAGAATGAGTGACAACTGGAAAAAGCTGGAAAGGATTGCCCAGGACAGGGTTGGATAGAGAATCCTGGTGGGCGGCCTATACTCCTCCACAAGGAGTAACATGTGTAAGTAAGTAAGTAAGTATCTTCACCAAAATGATCAGCCTAAATGTAGCACACATTTCATACAATTATGTTTTCTTTATGAATCTGAATAAGGCCAAAACAACAATTAAAGTAGAATAGTATAATTTCATTTTATTTTGTGATTTCTATCCAACTGCTTACAATCATTGATGTATATGAAAATGTAATATTGAGCTAAGATATAATGTAGAACAATTGACAGTGATCACGGAGAGGCATGAGCTCATTTGAAGATGGAATTTAAAAAAAAAGAAGGATGAGGTAATAATGGAATGAACTCCGGAAATAGGTAAGATAGATTGTGTGATCATTATAGAAGTTGTGAAGAGCTTACAAATGCATCAAATTACTTGAAACTAGTAATAGAAGATTAAGAACAATGGGGTAATAATTTTCTAGAATTAGAAGTTGAAAGGTTACATAATAATTATACAAAATTTGAAGAGTTTACTGACAAAAATAATAATTTCAAGTGATATTGCTGTTTGTGCTACTTATACGGACATAAGTAGTATATGATGTTAGTCGTAGGCAGAAGGTCTGGAAGCAGAGAGACAAGATGAGTCATTTTGAGGCAATTGATGGACATTTTTCAAATTAAACATTTGCTTTATGATTTTTAGATTCTATTAACAAGTCCTGTAATTTTGAGTTGAATACATTCGATTGTCCCCACCCGTGTTCTGTTCACTGCAATAGTAGTCAACACGAACTTTCAATAGTAGTCAAAGCTGTAAATTTTCGAGTTAATTTGGTTACTGTCCCTTTCCAGATACATAAGTCAGGTTTTAGCTACTTTGTTGTTACTGAGTCGGCAAACCGAAGAGGAGCCAAGTCTTTTGTCGATTAGCAATTCTGAAGGATTGTAGGATATTAGTGGTATGCCTAATGTCAATTGAATACCGAGAGCCGTTGTGCCTCTCAGCATCAAATTCTTTGGTGGATGCTGAAAAATTCGAACCTGAACTCTTCTCCCTATTTTTTCGATGCATGTAAAGTGGTAAATAAATTTGGAGGTAGTGAGAAAAGGGAACTTGTCAATTTTGTTTGCATGAGTGAGCAGTTCGTTTCGTATAACGTCGTCGGTTATTCTGCTAGAAAAAGGTTTTTTATCGCGGCATTTATCCTGTGGCTAATCGTTTCAGTAATTTCATCTCATTTGAAGTGCGGATAAAAAAGAACAGGTTTTTTTATCTGCTTTGTTTTGAACATGTACATTGGGTTCGGCATACCTCTCGACCGATTTTGATGGGTATGCATTTTCACGTAGACAGGTTGTAATAACGACAAGTTCCTCTTCCAGGCTTTCTTTTGAGCAAACTGTATGAACTCACCAAAAAAAGTAAATACATTCCCCTTTTTATAACTTATTGAATAGAAGCTGTTGTGGTTTAGATAAATTAAATTCCATGTATTTTTGCAGTGAATGTGTCTTTATAGTGTGGCATTTGAAGGTTGTTTGATACCAACATCTAAGGGATGGGATTTACTTTCTATTTCATGTTCCTACAACATTCTCTTTTTTACTTGAATGATGACTGATAAAGTTGAATTGGAAGAAAGTTAGGAATGTGCTATGTTTGAAGCGATGACGAGCTCACCTAGTCTGAGAACGGAACAAAAACTCTGTGACCAAATACCAATAAGCTAGTTATTCTGATGCGTCCCAGTCCAGCTAACTACAGAAAGAAGTTCATGTTCGAAACGGGGAAATATATTCCGCAAGCAGCCAGAAGCACGAGCAATCCCGACAGACACAAATCAAACGTATATATATATACAGCATAAAATTGTCGTTGGGAATCGTTACAAAATAGCATAGTAAAAGATACAACCAACCAATAGAGTTTAAGATCGTTCCAATTAGGAAATACCATATGAAAGTGAAAATGAGCGCTTTTGGCGCGAATACAAGAAATTCAAAATTTTAAGACAAAATGACAAAAATAAGATATTTAACAAGTGAGTTCTGATGATCTAACATCCCCAACAGAATGAATGAATTATTATATGACATCAATCCATTAAACCATTTACTGTTTGGTTGATCTTTGTCAGGAGATAAAGTCTTCTCAGAAACGGTTTACATGATAATCACATCATCAACATTTGGAGATGATGATCTAAATTGATCAAAACAATCACATTAGTATATATGCATTGATTCTCTTTCCTCTCATAAAATCTTAAGTTTCAATATTATTTTATCTATTTATTCATTTGAGTTGTAGTCTGTATGTTCGATCTAGTTCATAATCATTGAACATTTACTCTAGATCTTCCGTTCTTTTGAGTGAATGATGGAATCAGTCAAGTTAAATCGGCTTCTCTAGAGGAGATGTTACAATAGATCATTGAAAAATTGATCTTATTGTATTATAGTAAGTAATATAGAGAAATTTCGAACAAATATCTTTAAAGTGATGTAATACAATAGAAATTATTTCTACATAACACTGTTAGAATGAATATAGTTTGAAGTGAATACACATGTGTACACTTACCATTTCATTGACTACTTGTTCTTCAGTAGAATTACAACAATTTTTCCGTATTGATTCCATTAATAAACGATATTGAGTTAGTCGTGTAGTTGGTTTTGTTAATTGATCCCATAATGGTTCACGATGATCATGACCTTGTTGATCAGCCCACTTAAAGTAAATCAATAAATAATCATCATAATAATTATTGAATAAATGAAACACTATATTGGATGGTATACCTGAAGTGTAATAATTCTTTGGAAATAATAAGTAATTAATGTATAGGTCTAATTGAAAAGTCCTCTACTTATGGGATTAGATGAAAATGACCCACAATTTATTTTCGTATACCATAAGAAACTCAATTAAATTGTATAAGTTTTATATGATGGAATGGATTCTCAACTCAAGTAGATGCTATTTGATGTGTTGGGTTCTCTAAACTGAATGAGCTTTCATTATCATTAAGGAAGACGAGATGTCAGAAAGAAAATAGTTGGTTCATATTATAAAAAAGTCATCATGTTGATATGTGGTTGTGAAAGAAATACATGACTGATCAGTGAGCATGGACAAACAGGGACTTAGCCTATTGACTATTAAGTATGTAATCTTTTTTCTTCTTATTGATTTTCACTTCAGACTAGCTGAGTGTAATAGCTTGCAACTGTTTTGAATAAAGTATTATCTAGTGTTAACCTGGTTCCCTATTCTGGGTTGTCAATCTTAGATCTGGTATAACGTGAATAGTCTTATTATTATGGTAGACTTGAGAGTGAGAAAAATATTTTAAACATTCATGTTTGATACGTGATTAATACTTTGGAAGAATCTATGATCAAAAACCTGTAGCCCACACATGTATTTTACTTTTATAGACCTTGATTCACTGCCATAGAGTAATATACGGTGAAATTTTATGCTGTGTATATACTCTTTGTTTACTAGATGAACATCTTGCCTACTCCATGAGTTAACCAAGTTGGTATAAGTCAAGTGAACTTTGTAAATCTATAATTTCACCAGAAACTAACCAACCAGGATTGATAGGACTTCCAAGTTAAGTGGATTGGCCAATTCATTCCACTACTACACTTCCTATAATCAGCCTGGGAGAAGATAAACATCAGATCTCAAACAATATTATACATTTAAAAGAACAGAAACACATCCTAAATATGATTGTATTGTAAATCAAAGTGTTTGGGAGACTGTATATTGTAGTTGGATTTCCACCAAACAAGGTAAAGTCATTTGTATGTTAAGTTAGAAAGTCGGTATCAATCAACGTAACTGAAAATACAGTTGTGTTATTGTTGAGATTGACTATTCATAATCACTATTTTTCAAACTACTCAAATGTAAAACGTTTTATTATTGACAAATATTTTTAACTCATGATGAAAACAACGATTATATCAATATCCTTTAAGGTTAACTACAAAAACTGAAGAACATATAGTTTGCACACATTATTTATCAGAAATAAGTAACCGGTAATGAGATTAAAAGTTTACTATGGTCAACATATAACAGACAGATTAACTGCTTGAAAAAATCGATTGCAAGAAGTATTCTTTGATGTTTAAATATTAGATACCACCTAGCGGTTACATCTAACTGCCGATCTCAAGCCTGGATAAAAGAGGAGGGTTGGGCATGGGGTTAACGACTCCATCATGTAGAAAACGTACTCGCTGAAAAGAAGCTAACCAGAAAAAATAATTCAAAACGTAAGCGGTTACATCTAAGATATCTATTTTCCTAATAATGATTAGAATTCATTAGTGTTGAATATACTTGAATATACTTGAACCCCTAGTGGTAATGTTTATACACAACGCTTCATACATCATTGTACCATCTATTCATTTATTTACTAGATTTCATTACTGACTGTTGTAGAAAACGTTTATCAACCTGTTGATGTGGAACATATTAAAGCTTCATTTTTAGAAGCCCAATGTATTGATTGTCAACAGTTAGGAAATTCAAACATTTGTAATGATTGCCATACATACAATTACAATATACTTTTAAGAATATTACTATGAAGTTGTCTTTTTCGTACACAGAAAGTTTATAAATTCGTCCTCAACTAGATACTATTTTGATACGTTTTATGTACTATTAGTGACAAACTGAACTCATTCACGGTTCCATCGACGATCAGTAGACGCTGAATAGCTGTTTTGTCCTAGTATGTGACTCTACGGAGATTCACACCTGAAACTCGATCTGCGACCATATTAAAAATTTTCAGGTCCTATACTAGGAGTAATTAACTGTTGAGTGCCCCTTTCTTTTCAATGGTACCCTAACTGAAATCAATCTGTAGCAAATATGATCTGAACATTACACAGCTTTCAAAGGAATTCTTCAAATAAATGACTTCGATAAATCGAATACGACGAATATTAGGACAAAAACGAATAGCATCATTTTTATTAGATTTACCTCAAGAAATATACAAAAGTTTGTGCTTTGTCTAACGGCTTCTTGTGTATATGATCGACAACGAGATAGATTCACATAGTATTGTTTGTAAACACTGAGTAAATCAGGAATCTAGAATGAAGGACAGATTTGTACAATGAATTTTATGCATAACATGTTGATGTTTTTTAAAAAGGAATAAATAAGAAAATAAACACTAATACACCTTATACTCTGAATAGGTTTAACTTCTTGCATTCTCCAGAACCTAAGAATTGGGTCTACTATTAGAAAGTAGAATGTGCGTTTCATTTTAGCTGAATGTACCAATATATCGGTGTTAATATTCACACTGAGACTCAAACCCAGTACCTGTCACTTCACTTGTAATATGTGCTACTTTTACGTACAGATATAAGTAGTATGTATCAGGAGTCGAAAATAAAATCCTTACAGACAGAAGAGGAAATTGAGGAGAAGAGAAAAAACAAAAGCTGTCGGAGTAACAAAAGGAATGACAGAATGAGGGCTGTGCAAGAGATAATTCAAGGATGTTGTAAAAATGTTGTATTCAGTGTATTGTTCTCATATTTCATCAATGCAGTGTGTGATTTTCTGTAATTCAGTAAATTGATTTGCGTACCCAAGTCTTCATGTGTTACGCAGTCACCAACGTATTATCCACGAAGTTGATAAGTACGTTCTGTCATAAAATTGTTTAGTGTGTCTAATGTTTATAATATTATTGGTAAGGATACCTGCTATTTGACACGCACTGTATAGGATCTACATATGCCAATCAAGACTGCATGAATTTCAACTTTGAATATCAACAACGGGACATTACATAGGATCACTTATTGTCTCTTTATTCATACGTAATAATTAATAATATGTGACTTTTTATCAGTGTTTTCCTGATTTCCTTACAAGATATATTATAATCTGTCAACCGCTGAACTACTCGTTTCACTCCATTTACAAATAGTCTGTAGGTTATAGTATTATTGCATAATACGACCATTTTATTGCTATAATATTCGTATTGTGAAACATCATAGAAGTGTAAGACGATGGTGACAAACTAATTGAAAAGAAGTTATTCTTATCTGATTTCGATGTAACCTGAGGTTTTAGATGCTCGTTGCTGATAAGTCGTATACCATGAAGAAACAGATGTTCATCATCTTTTAGCCTACGCAATGATCACGAACAGTAGTGGGTAACGAAAACAAGAGAGATGGAAAAGTCAGAGGAAATAGGCAACAGAAGACAACTGTTCAAACTTATCAAGGAAACCGGTATTAGGAACCCAACTGTTAGCAAAACTATCTCTGAAAAAGATGGACATATTATTCATTCTCAATCTAGGACATTGGATCAATGAGCAGAACACTTTAAGGATCACTTCAACTGGCCGATGGTTAGAGACTTTGAATGACATGGCTCAAAATTGTTTGCAATGGGGCAGGTGCATCCACTCTTTGCGTTCTCTCAAATTCTAATCTTCTGAATCATTTATGTCCCTTCTTTCCTCTTTCCAAATTTATTTCACTGGATTATACTCCTTGAATAACATCTTCAAACCCTAATGTTTTCGATTACTGCTTATACTTTTACTACCTCTACCACAATGGGATTTGAATCGACAACTGCATTTCTGTGCTAATGTGATATGGCAAGTCGAACTGATGTACGTACGTACGAAGTTCTACGTTGTCGATGACTGACTGACTGACTGACTGACCATGCTAATAACCAGTAATTCTGGCTTCAGAATATGAAAAAATGAAGTAAACTATGAAATTAGATTAAGTAAACATCCTCATCATCATTATACCATCATTAATAACCATTAATCATTTCATTCATTTATAACATTCACATTCTAAAGAATGATATGTATCCTTGAAATAATAATAAAAATCATGATCAAATAATCAAATTGGTTTTCTGATTGTTTTCGGCATCAGTTCATCAGTATATTTACATATTTTGTTTATGTAATTGAGTATTCCTTTGTGTTTTTGATGTGTATAAGTTTGTGTATATGTGTGTGCCTGTATTAAATTACTGGAATTGTCGATCTTTTTTGCTTCTTTTTATGGTTAAACACGGACACACAAACATATCGATGGTGAAAGCTAAAATGTATAAGTGTGTAACAATGTAAAAGTTAGTGTACTTTAATTATTTAGTTGTCACCACCATCACCACCACTACCATTAACATGTGCACATGAATGAGGGAATATCTATATCAGTGATGGTATGTAAAACATGAAAACAGTTGATTATAATAATACAATAGTAATTCAATGCTAATTAACAGAAAACTGGCTCCACATAGTTTATTCCTGGCATTTAGATGCCATCATTATACCTTACATTTACAGCGTAACTCAAATTCAGTTACAAGACAGAGTATCTGGCAGATGTAGTTAGTATCAAAAAAGTCATCAGTAAAAGTATTTTCTTAATAACAATAAAGCTAATTACCGAAGTACAGTGGAACGTATCAGAAATAAGATATAGTTAAATCTAGATAACTAGTTATTAAGAAATAAACAATGATAAAATGATGGGGTCAATAGTGAGACTATTAAACGTAGGATTGTTAATTAATTAACAGATGCCTAAACTATTGTATTTTTATATTCTCCTATTTCTAAGCTTTCGTTTAATCTATAAATCGTTACTATGCATTTAACTAATATGGATTTCAACAGTTGAGATAATGAGTCAATTGAAGCTAGACCACCATGGAAAACCTGGAAGTACTGGACGGCTATTTCGTTCTATTGTGGGGCTCCTCAGTAGTGCGTATCCATGATCCTGCCTGGCAGGATTCAAACCGAGGGTCTTCAGTCTCGCGCACGAACGCTTAACCTCTAAACCACTGATCCAGCCTGCATCCAACGGTGTCAGTGCCTAACCTCAATCAATCCACGATATAAAGGATTTATTTGTTTGTTCTTTTACTTCACTTACGTGTGTTATTGCACTTTTAAAGATGATCGGTGTAAATGCATCTCCATTACGACGAATTTCTTTCAATGGTCCAATTAAATAGTGTAACCAAAGTTTAATATTTGCTTTGAATATTTCTTCAATATTACCAAAAATCCATCCAATATCTAAGTTCTCAAATAAATATTCACGTATTTCCAAAAATGGAGATAAATAATACTAAAATGAGAAATGTGAAGAAAAAATTACAATGATTAAAAGGAGAAGACACTACTGTTACAGTGATTATAAACATTAATTTATAGTTGAGATTACAAACTGAAAACTAGAAAGCACTGGATAGTTGTTGAATCATATTATAAGACTGATCAGAAGTGCATCCACAATATCGATGAGGATCGAATCTAGACCACTCACATTTGTCGATGAGCGTTCAATCTTTAAATCATTAAACTAGGATCTATCAGTTTATATTTCTAATTTCAGTCAATACGTGATAATGTTCAAATACGTGTACTATAAAATTTAACAATCTTTACAAACAGCTTACACGTACGTTAATTCGTGTAGTTATACAAAGATGTTTAAATGTGACAAAGTGAATCTTAACAGAGATTAGTTTTATAATTCAATCGATAGCACTTACAAAATGTAATATCATGGTTTCTAGTTGAATTGCATGTTGAAGCCGAAGTTTAATTTACCATTACCATGTATTACATTCTGACTATTAATACATAACAAAGAGAATTAATATCATCATTATCTTATATTATCACTGAGTCACAGAATATTAGAAGACAAAACCTGGGCGAGTAACTGCTGAGAATTAATAGTAAGGAAAAGGATCACTCTTTATATACTATTTTAGTCAACCTTAAAATATAATGTAAAGTAATTGAACGATATGGTTCGGCAACAGAATAGATTATCTAATAAGATTATTCCAATCAAGGAACAGAATGAATCAAAATATGAAAGAGATGAATTTTTAACTCACTGACTAATGATCTAAAATATTGATTTCTAATCCAGACACTTTCTATCAATAGTTGTCAAACGTGATCAGGAGAAATCTTTATTTGATTTTGGCTAATTGTTCTTTACACGTTGTCAACTACAATTATCTACAGTCTTCAGGAGACTGGTTCTTTTCATGGAATTTAAAGTCGTGCAGTAATGAATGTGATATTTAAAATTACTTGGTGTTGTTTTACTTGTATCTTCCCATTGTAGTTTAGGATTGCAGTTGATCAGACTCTTGTACAATAGGACGAAACAAACATCCTGGATTCCACTGCTAGCCACTATCCATCTTTGCTTAGAATGTGATATTTGTCTAATATTTAGTATTGATCAATGTAGATATGTAGTTACTATCATAATTTATTCACATAGTGCTTTAAAACAGGTTCCTGTGACGTATATCTGCCAAATGATTTTTTTTTCAAACTATCGTAAAACTGTCTCAATAACTTAAATATTTTCATCATAGTTAAATATCCTACTGTTCACAGTGGAATATTAACATTGCAAATTGGTAACTCTTTAAATGATGTATTATGTTACTATTCAACTGTTAAATAGTATTGGTGTAAGTAAGTATCAACAATATCATCAGAAAATTATGCTCCATGTGCAAAGTATATATTCCCGAAATTACTAACTACCTGTCAGTCTCTTGAATTGAAGAACGTCTATAACTGATATCGTTTGTAGTGAAAGAAATAATCCTAATTTCAGTTGAATGATTTACTCTTGAAGTCATTTACACATAGCCTAAAGTTACAAAGGTTTCCTAGTGTAACTAGAAACACAGTTGTTACACACTAAAACATTCCAAAAATATCAGTATAGGGTTGTGGAGATTACCAAGTTTTTGATTGAGATCATCAACCGATCGATGTTAAACCACCATTGAAAACCTGGAAGCACTAGAGGGCCTTCAATCTCGCGAGCGAGACAGGGCGTCCCACAATAGGACGAATTGGCTTTCCAGTGCTTCCAGGTTTTTAATGGTGGTCTAACATCAATTGGCTCATGATCTCAATCAAAATTCCAAAAATAATTAACAAAAAAGAATATAAGCTTGACTTCAGTTTGTAAAGGGTATCGCGATGAAAAGATTTCAGGCCTAAATAGTTTGATACGGAAGGAAATTTAAGTAGAACTGTCATAAAGTTGTTTCCTCTATTACGTAACTTTATTGATGTTCACACAAACATTTGATCTTGATGTGATCGCATATTATCATTCAGATTGCAATGTGGCTATTGGTCTAAGTAGCTTGACACCTTCTAAAATTTGCTGTGATGTTAATCAGTTGGAAGTAGTCAAGTTGAAACTGTGGATTAAAGTTTCAAACTAGTTGGCAAGCGTCAGTGATGCGTGTTAGAAATTTCGGTTTGGCAATCTCAAATTGAATGTCGCCTAACTTGGTTTAGGCAGCTGATTAGGATCACTTATCTCCGCACATGTAAAATGTAGCTCAAAGTTGGGTACACAGATCTATAATTACCAAATGCATTACATTATCATTATTTATTAACCATCCCGTGAGTGAGAATTTGACTTTATCAATAGAATCCAATTATCCTTGAGAGTGAAAAAATATAATTCTATCCAGCACTCAGTAATCGAATAATTGTAAATATCTTAATCCTTTAGGAGGTCAGTCATAGTTCGAAAAGCTCATTGGTAAGTCTAATACCGTAAATCTAACTGGTATTATTTGAATCGCACAAGGAACATAAGTTCCTTGAGAGTTATACTGGTACATATTGGCTGCTATGTTTAAGTACAAAAACTACTGATCACTTTTATAGGAATCATATGGTAAATTTGCTATCATTCAAGCACTATTAATTTTCAACAGTTGAGATCATGAGTCAATTGAAGCTAGACCACCATGGAAAACCTGGAAGCACTGGACGGCCGTTTCGTCCTATTGTGGGACACCTCAGCAGTGCGCATCCACGACCCCGCCTCGCGGGATCCGAACCCAGGACCTATCAGTTTCACGCCAGGCGCTGGGTTCGAATCCCGCGAGGCGAGGTCGTGGATGCGCACTGTTGAGGAGTCCTACAATAGGACGAAACGGCCGCCCAGTGCCTCCAGGTTTTCCGTGGTGGTCTAGCTTCAATTGGCTCATGATCTCAACTGTTGAAACTACTACAATCTCCACAAAACCCCTTCTGATACTAGTAATTTTATTAAAATAATGATTACGGCCGACGACTCCCAAATAGGACGAAACGCGCGTCGTGGATTCCACTGCTAGGCACTATCCATCTTTCGCCTATATTACAACAATTATGCTTACAATTATTATTAAGTATACTTTTCAAAAAATAAGTAGACTCTTTAAGTGTTAAACAGACTAACATACAAACACTAATACATACAACAACATTGTTCATATGTACAACTCACATCTATAATAGTACGTAAATACTTTAGATAGTTCGCTTCAGTGTAAATAAATTCCCAAATAGCTGATTGTTTTTTCTGCTGTTGTTTTGTCATTTTCTATAAAGAATAAGAAAACACAAAGAGTAGTAAAAGACATTATTCAAGAAGGAAGATGTGTAGCAGTGGAATGTGAGGAAAACATAGCGAACTCATTACAAGAAATCAATAGACGAATCAATACTGAACTGATGCTTATTTGTAACTTTTCAACAGGTTTAACGACATGTATAAATTCTTGGATTTCAACAGTTACTTACCAAATCTAAGATTTATGTCACGGACTGAATTTAGTTGGACAGAAAAGAAGAAAGCACAGAACAACCGTCTCGTTCTAGAATGATAATCTTCATTAGCATCTATCTATAATCTCACTGTGAATAGGAGATAAAACATCTAGGTAACGTGATGAGCGCTTAAAGGTCAGTGATTTACATTTCTAATCTAAATACATGTTCAGTAGTACGCTATAATGATTAAATTCAACAATCTCTGTGCTTAGTGCTTAACCATTATTTACCACAAGATAATTTGTAAGTTAGTCACAGGATTGGTTTGATGAATTAACCAAATCAAGATGTAACATTACTCTATAAAGTTTGTAACTGTTTAGTTGTATCATTTGAAGAGATGCAGAATTCTTTACAACATATTCAAGGACTGTTCACCTTAAAGAGATTGACTCAAAATCATTTCGATGAGTGACAGAAATCCTATAAAAATACATCAGCCATCTGCTTTATAAAAAAATATTTAAAAGAGCAAGAACAAAGATTCTAACAGAATAGTATGGATTCATTCTATGTCGTTTAGTTCTCATCAGCTACTTACAACCTGTGATATTTAAAAACTGTAATTACATAATGGGTGTAAATCAATTAAATGAGAGTGTTTAGTTGGAAGTTATATTTAAGACACATTAGTATAGTATAGTAAAGGTGTAAATAAACGTAATAGACTGAATAGTGTAAATATATACCTTATGTGATGATTGAACATTCTAGAACATTGACTGCGATAACAGTTCAAACGGCCAGAAATAAGTGATTACATAATGAGTAAACATTGATAGGAATATAATAAATAGAGGTCAGTTGATAAAATAAGATTATTAATTTGGAAGATAGTTGAAATAAAAATCTCAATGGTGTAATAAATACTAGAAAGAGTTAAAAAAACGTTTTAAGATTCAATGGAGGAATACTTGTCACCAAGGCAATCAAAGATTAATAACCATCTTCTTTTGAACATATAAATCAGGTTTTTGACGTCTGATAGCAACTGCTTTAGTAAACTTCAGAAGACTAGAGTTTGACTGTTTATTAATCAGCTTGACAGGTACAACGTATCGGTTTGATTTCCTGTATCTAAGACATGTTTGATATTTGCACTATTTAGAGTTTTTCTTTCTGTTGTTCTGAAGCTTTTGGAACATGTTCAAAAAATCTGAGATGTGCCCTCATTTCTGTTTGACCAATGTAGCTGCTTTGGCAGGTGCACATAAACTTGTAAATACAGTTGGCGGTAACATGAAAGGGGTGCTTGTCAACCACGGATTGAGTTATTGAACATGTTGTATTATATAGAGAATTAAGAGTTTGGCCGCCGGATAAGTTCGGGATAGCTCAGTATTCAGTCTCCTGTTGATTATGTGTGTGACATCATCACCTTTGAAGTTAAGATTTATAGATAGTGGTTTCTTATTGACCGTAATTACTCCCATCTTGTTTTCTTCGCGCTTTTTATATTTGTCGAAAAACCTTTGTGAGTAAAAGTTGTGTCTTAGGGATTTTCCCACGATCATCAATTCTTCTTTCAAATTGTCGGTGGTATATATCTTTTCTACCCTATAAAATTGTGTTTTAACCAATACCATCTTGTAGATGATTGGGAAAAAACTAATGACATTCAGGTGAATGCCATTTCAAGTACTTTTTCGATAGACCGAACGTTGAACTGTCCCATCTCCCATACGTTTTATGGTAATATATATATAATCAGTTGACTGGAGAATGCTGGTGAGTGGCCCATGCTCCTCTACGAGGGATAACGGATGTAAGTAAATAACTAAGTAAGTACTTAGGAAGTCAGAAAGCTGCTAGTGATTCCGGAGATAATTTTCTCTGTGAAATGTTTGTAAGCAAGATAGAGTCCTGACTAGTGCATACTCAAATCACGCTTAAATAGGAATACTTCAGTTAGTTAATTTTCAACTAGTCATTGCTGATGAATGAGTCGACTATATACTAGAATATTCTGGTAATTTCCATACAAACTCTAATGTTCTATTGGTATGCCTTGGTCGTGGCTGTTTGGATTATTGGAACATGCATATTTTCTTCCCTTTCAATTATTATTCAAAAAAATGTTTGTAATCAGGGTGGACTAGATCCTGTGAAAGAACACAAAAGGTCACATCATTATTGGAGGATTCGAAGAAAAAAAACTTCTTTAACCTCACCCATTTATATCACCGATTCTCTAAAGAGAAAGAAGTAAAAAACAAACCTCACTTACTGAAGATGATTTAACAATTTGTTCCCATGAATCTTCAATAAAAAATAGACTAGCCAGATCCTGACTATCAAATTGTTGACTATTCGGCATATTTTGATGTTGACTATCTTCAAAACGTGAATAAGAATTCGATTTTTGTCGAATTGCTTCTTCTGAATTCGGGCTTGTAGTTAATGGTATAGATGTAGTTGAATTACTGTCTGATATTTTCTGTCGCCCTGATAGTAAATTTACCAGCACATTTGGGTTCAATTCACTTAGACATTCATTTATCAATTGGTCAGACAATGAATATGAGTTCAAACTGTTGCTTTTCTTGTAAAAATCAAACCAATTTTTCAGTGCATCAGAGGTTGTATCCTATAAAAAAGCGAAGTGCAAATTTAATATATCAGTATACGGTTGTAAAGACTGTTGACTTTCATCAAGATCACGAACCGATAAATGTTAGACAACCATTGAGAATCTGAAAGTACTGAACTGCCAATTCCCGCTAGTGTGGGACTCTTCAGAAGTGCAAACCCACGATCCCTCACGTGAGACTAGAATTTAGACTTGGAGTTGGATATTAACAGTGTTAGGTGCTGGATTAGTAGTCTGGAGGTTAAGCGTTCGCTCGCGAGACAGAAGGTTCTGGGCTTCAGTCCCGTGTGTAGGATTGTATACGTGCACTACTGAAGAATCCCATACTAGGATGAAACAGCCGTTCAGTATTTCTAGATTTTCAATGATTTTCAAACTTTAAACGGTTCATGATCTCAATGAAATTAGATTGAATTTGAATTTTTGGCAAGAGCAGAGCACAAAGTTGAGCTTAAAACAACAATGACGAATTTTAAGTCGGTTCTCAGTCAGTCAGAAAGTAGATTTTGTAAATAGATAGTTCGTGGACAAACGAACACCAATATTACAAGATTTAAATAAATTTTACAAATATAAAGGATATATTTAAGGTTTTCACGTGTTACTCTATGTATAGATCGGAAAAAATAATGATAAGTAAATCCATTACAGGTAAAGATTATTTGCTTTCACGAATCTTCATTTGAACCTAAAATGATTTTTAAGAGCGTCCACACTGTTCTTAGGGTTTTCGTCAATAACTGTGATGGAGAAGATTTGTAGCTCAGGTGGATGATTTTGGTGGTGTTTTGTTCTCTGAGCTGGATGGTTTGGTCGTGGAGCTTTCATCGTTCTTCTGAACGACATCATCAGCACAAACTTCAGATAGAAGTGAAGTGTTCGAATTTCTCCATATGTGTTTCACAGCTTGTTCTGTGCACCTCGATGTTGATTGGTTCTTGTTGACCTTAAATTTATCATTGTTTACTTCTTTGTTTTGGTTGTGTCTCCCATTGGTTTGATTTTTGTTCCTATATTTATGCATGATTTTCCTGATTGGTTGATAAATTGGATTGATTTCAATATGTTTGTTGGTTGCTGATTGACCTGAGTGCCAAGCTTCTAAAAATTCTCTGGTGTTCTTGGAGTTTCCTCTGTCTAAGATTTCTACATTTTCCCAATCGAATGAATGTCCGTAGTTATCCACGTGTATTGATATAAGTGAAGAGATATCATGGCGTTTGACTGCTAATTGATGTTCATGTAGGCGTAGGTGGAGGGGGCGTCCGCTTTGTCCGATGTAGTGTTTGTCGCAGTTGGTACAATTTATTTTGTAGATGATGTTTGATTTGTTTTCCTTTGTTATTTCATCTTTTGGTTTACAACCCAAGAGCTCACAAAATCAACTGCGTACACACATTGTTCAAGAGGGCGAGGACACACTGCAACACACTGGCAGCACGAAAAAAAAATGAAGACAAATACCTGAGGGACATATTTCAAAAGAACGGCTACCCAATCAACTTCATCAAAAAGCACCAACGGCACACAGCACCAGAACCCAAATCAAGCACAAAAATCAACAAAAGTATCACCCTACCGTACATACAAGGAATATCAGAAACCACAACGAGACTGCTGAAAACCTTCGGGATAGGTGTGGCACACAAACCAACAAAATCATTACAATCAATCCTATGCAAACCAAAAGATGAAATAACAAAGGAAAACAAATCAAACATCATCTACAAAATAAATTGTACCAACTGCGACAAACACTACATCGGACAAAGCGGACGCCCCCTCCACCTACGCCTACATGAACATCAATTAGCAGTCAAACGCCATGATATCTCTTCACTTATATCAATACACGTGGATAACTACGGACATTCATTCGATTGGGAAAATGTAGAAATCTTAGACAGAGGAAACTCCAAGAACACCAGAGAATTTTTAGAAGCTTGGCACTCAGGTCAATCAGCAACCAACAAACATATTGAAATCAATCCAATTTATCAACTAATCAGGAAAATCATGCATAAATATAGGAACAAAAATCAAACCAATGGGAGACACAACCAAAACAAAGAAGTAAACAATGATAAATTTAAGGTCAACAAGAACCAATCAACATCGAGGTGCACAGAACAAGCTGTGAAACACATATGGAGAAATTCGAACACTTCACTTCTATCTGAAGTTTGTGCTGATGATGTCGTTCAGAAGAACGATGAAAGCTCCACGACCAAACCATCCAGCTCAGAGAACAAAACACCACCAAAAGTCAATAACTGTCATCAGCTATAATGTAAAAATTGTGTGTAGCCCCATGGATAAATAGATTCAACTCAAAAATATAAGAGGTGCTATCAGATTAGTTTGTCCATAAAATGTAATGGCATTTGGTTAAGGTTTGTTTTGGGATTAGGAGTTTAGAGTTAGAGTTCAAAAATGGTATCGATTTTCCTGTTATATGCGATCTACAGAGACAGAATCGAATATCTGACACTTTTAAACTATCATTTTGTTATAGTGGGCGGTGTCTGAAATTCGATATTGATACACGACCACTCTTATCTTTCTTCCAGCGTACTGCTACACTAGTAAATATCAAGGATCGAGTTAGTTGACAGGTGAAATTACGTAATACATGTCTCAATTACCTTAGTCGATGAAGATTTGCCAACCCATCAACCCATTTGATATCTTTACCTAACCTTCTATGTTTAACCTCAGTATTTTTTGCCCACTGATTCCAGCATACATAAGCAAATACTAGATAATGAAACCTGTAAGATAAGTGATGTGGATGACACCGTCAACCATCTCACTACTTATCAAGAGTTTAGATGTTGAAGCAGTCCAGTCTTGAAGCAAAATGTTGTCTAGCTTTTATTGCTTAGTGATACACTGTATCAGTCATACATAGGCTAAGTGATAAGCTCATGATATTATCGAAGATTTGACCTCATTTTCCAAAAAGGAAACATAGGTCATTGGTTAAAAATATGGCTTAACTTTTTGAAGGAAGAAGATATTTATTGATGAATGAGTGTACATATATTCTCGATTCTGTTTAATCAATAAAGCATCCTTCTAACTCTCAACGTCCTCACTCAAGTAGTTTGTTTGCACTTGCTTATAAAAAGCTTTTATGTTAGTATCAGGCTAGGTTGCCACTTATAGAATTATGTCTATCACGAATGTCAATAAATCATACCGGTCAGTGCCAACTAAAATTTAACCTAGTTGTATGAATCTCCGTAGATCCGCTATAGTCACTCAACCTTGGTAGGGATTCATCTAAATTTGTGGTCATGTTGTAGTGAACAAGAACACGGGTGGGGACAATCGACTGTATTTGGCACAAAAATTACAGACTATCTCAATATAATGTGAATACCATAAAGTCAATCGTCAATTTGCAAAATATCATTCCATCATATCAAACTGTACTGTTCCCGTTGCAAACACTAATCCATTGTCTCCCATTCCATTGTACATGCGTTTTCTTACAATTGCATTGTGTTCTTGCTCTTCCTTTCTTGATCTTCGCCATCTTCTGCTGCCGGACATTACGTTCTTTTAACGCACGTTATATACTACTTATATCAATATAAGTAGCTCACACCACAATGTCATAACAAGATCGATAGGATCTTAGAAGGAATTAAAGAGAGGCAATGGGATTTATGATTATGTCTTGCATAGACAGACGGACTACACTGGAATTAATATTGTCCTCAATTAAGTGTATAGGATAGAAAGGTGAAATTAGATCATAGAGCCAACCTTGAGCAATCAAAAGATGACCTCTGGATTTAAAGCAGAATCAAGAATTACGGTTAAAAAGTAAAATCAAGCATTAGGGTTAGGAATCAAGATAAGGAATTAGATTCAAGGTTTTCATTATTAACTGATATTGTCTATATTGCAAAAATGCACAATGACCGTAGGGATGGATAAATTTCAAACCCAAATTCAAGAGACGTTGTCTTGAATGCGATTGATTCGTCACTATACTTTGGTTCCAACGATAGAAACACTGATATATTGATGATGTTGAATTGTTGTTTATACTTGGTCTTTATTTATTTAATTAATTCCTTCATCGTGTTTATATTGACTTTTCATCCTTAATTCTGTTGTAAAATGTGACTAAGTACAATTTACCTACCGAGTAATACGATACATAAAAATCTGGGTAATACTCATTAGGTGACAAAAGAAATCCCCACGTGAATTACCAATAAATAATTAAAACATGTAGATATTTATTGGAGTTAGTCAAAGTTTTACAATCTAGTATTTGGCAAATAAAATCTTGTATTTACCTAATGATACGTAAACTAATACCAAATGCATTGGTACGGCCGAGAGTGGGTGGAGTCAGCTTTTCCTCTCCAAATACTCTCACATGGTCACTGGCTGTCATAGGACTGCATCTCCTTGCGATGCTTCACTATCTTGTGGATTAGACATTTAGGTCAAAGGCTCCGGGTGTGGCCTTGCTTCGGTTTGGGCACTCGGACAGTATTCCAGACCTCACACAAACCGAATGATTTATGTGACGCATATCTATTTAGTGCCTCCTTCTATCAATGTTTATGTGTTTAATAAATAATTTTTAAAAAATGCTAATCCCAACATACTGAATGTTGAATTTAAATAAATTTGAATATATAACACTGTCAATGGAGATAAACTAAGGAAAACAAGCAACATTCAAATACAGTGAACTATGGACTAATCAACCAGCCTAAATACCATAATAGCTCACCGGTTGACGTCTTTTTAGCGGGTTAGTTTTCTACGGGGTAGGGTCGCTATACCCATGCCCAACCCTCCCCCTTTATCCGAACTTGGGACCGGCGGTAGCCCCGAGTGGGCTCCAAGTGGAGTATAATAGCTCACTAGGATTACCAAACTAGCTGGTGTATACATTAGAAGAAAAGAAAAAAAGATTCTAAATGCTCACTATTTTTGTCATACAAGCAACTTAGTATAATATCGTGTGATTCGTATGAAGTACGTCATTCATTTATCACGTTGATTATATATAGTATAAAATCAATCAATGAAATCACTCATTATTGATATGTATCATTGAATGAAAACTGTATTTTATAGTCAATCAGAATAATCATCTAAATATGTGTTATGAAGTTGTACTTGATAAGTATGAGAGTTAATTCAAGAAGGGTATTTCTGTTATTGAATAAAAGTTATACAACTTTATTGAAATGTTTACATTTAGTCTAATTTTACTAATTAATCAATAAATAGTACTTGATATTATGTTATCACCGTTGATTATTATCTTGTCAATTAAGTTATAGTATGTTCAATAAGCTAAGTAACTCAATATTATTGTGATTTGTTATTCTTTTGGTACTTAGTAAATGAAATGAATCAATAGGAAACTTTAGACTTAAACTTCATAATATTTGGAATTTATTATTAAGATACACTTAGAAACTTATATCTGGGTAGCTGTATAAACGCTGGTGTTGGCGTGAGTGATGAGGTCAATTCACGTTTAGTGAAATCCAGAATGACTTATGCAAATCTAAGCCATCTTTCGCGCCTTCATGCTGTTGGTCTGGTTGTAAATGGTCGGATCTACAACGCGTCGGTGAGAGCAGTTTTGCTCTATGCTTGTGAAAACCGACCTCTCCGAGTTGAGGATGTTAGACGACTTTCTGTGTTCGATCATCGTCGTCTCCGAAGGATTGCTGATATCCAGTGGCAACACCATATCAGTAATGCAGTAATGCAGGCATCGTGTGTTCGGGCACAGCGAAGACAATGCAGTTGGTGTCACCATCTTGAATTATCGACTTTGATGGCTTGGACATGTTCTACGAATGTCGTCCCAGAGAATCCCACTTCGTGCATTGTTTGTCGACTCTGGGAGTGGTTGGAAAAAGCGGAGAGGTGGTCAGTGTATGACATGTTGTCATGGTATGAAAGGAAGCTGTACACGACTGGCTTCTGTCAGTCTCTCACGACTCGCTGGTTGAGATCCTAGAGATGGTGTAACACAGTTTCTATAGACGTTATCAGATATAGCTCATATTAAAAGCCAACGGCGATCCTGCCGTGACTGTACTATACTTTCTTCATAAAAAATTAATTAACTTTTTTAACTGGAAGAATTATTTTTAGTTGTACCTCGGCTAACTGAACTGTTTGTCCCGTTATTATTATTACTGTCATTATTATTTCACTATCATATACTAATTTCTGTTAGTTATTATTGCCTTTTTTCTTATACACACCTTCACATTCTCATTATTATTGTGTGGTGCATATGTATCTGGCGGCCCTTGGTACCAATATTCATGTGTTCAAATAAGTAAAAAAAATAGAAACTTGAAGATCATGGATCAATGACTGATTTGTATAAATGTTTCAGTTTCTCAGGAGATCAACCGATTTCACTTGTAAGATCCCCAACCATGATACTAGGTGGTATCAATTAAAACGTTTTAACAAATATCCAGTTAAAAAACCAGTTTCCGGTGTATTCTACTAAGAAATTGGGACTTATAAAGTTCATATATGTAAATAGTCAAACAGCTATCACCAATGGTATCCAATAAACGTAGAATTTGAAATTGTACTTTTGTTTATCAACCTAATTGTTCTAATGGTTGACGAAACCTGAAGGTCTCAAGTTTGATTACTATTGGAGATGTGATTGCTGACTACTAATGAGTCTCATAATAATACTGTACAGCTAATTAGTGCTCTCTGGTTCTTAATGGTATCTTAAATAAGAATACCGAGAAGTAGTGGTAACGATGATAATAATAATAATAATAATAATAATAATAATAATAATAATAATAGTAAGAGTAGTATAACAAAACGCTTTACATAAAATATCTATATTTTGGCTGGTAACTATTAATACAAAGGTTTCTCTTATTTAACCTTCCATTCATCCTACTACTTAACATGAATTATACTTCTTAACAAATTGTTCTCTCATTAAAACAATCAGTTGAAATTATTCGGTTATTATTTGAATATATTTTTCTGATTAGCACTTTTTTAACGAGTTAGTTTTCTACGAAAAGGGGTCGCTAACCACATGACCAACCCTCCTCCTTTATCCGGGCTTGGGACCGGCAGTAGCCCCCGGAGGGACTTCAGAATATGCTATACTTCTGTTGAATAATAATTTCGTTTCATAATTAAGGATCAAATATTATCATCTGATATTCTTCTGATTTCATGAAACAGTGAATACTTCAAAGGGGGTAATTATTGTATTTCTTATCGATTTATATTGACAAATTAATTTTGATAATTATGATTGTATTAATCTGATCGATTGTTATCATATATGCTTAAAATCTATCGATTGATAAAGTTTCGAATCCCTATTTCACTCTTTCTTACTTACTTGCTTTACTTACGCCTGTTACTCCTCGTGAAGGAGCATAGGCCGCTCACCAGCATTCTCCATCCAACCCTGTCCTGGGCAATCCTTTCGAGCTCCGTCCAGTTGTAATTCATTGTTTTCATATCTGCTTCTATTATCCGACGCAGTGTGTTCTTTGGCCTTCCTCTTTTCCGCTTCCCCTCAGGATTCCAAGTTAGGGCTTGTCTCGTGATGCAGTTTGACGATTTGCGTAATGTATGTCCTATCCATTTCCATCATCTTTTCCTCATTTCTTCTTCATCTGGAAGTTGGTTTGTTCTCTCCCACAGAAGGCTGTTGCTGATGGTATCCGGCCAATGGATGTTGAGTATCTTGCATAGACAGCTATTTATAAATACTTGTACTTTCTTGATTGTGGTTGTTGTAGTTCTCGAAGTTTCAGCTCCGTACAGTAGAACTGACTGTGTTGACGTTCGTATTGAAGATTGTGACTTTGATATTAGTTGACAGACTGTTGTTTTGAGTTGCATATGTTCTTCAATGGTAAGAATGCGACCCTTGCTTTGCCAATCCTCGCCTTTACGTCTGCATCTGAACCTCCTTGTTCATCGATGATGCTTCCTAGGTATGTGAAGGACTCTACATCTTCCAGAGTTTCGCCATCAAGAGTGATTGGATTGCTGTTTTCCGCTTTGAATTTGAGGACCTTGGTTTTCCCTTTGTGTATGTTGAGGCCTACTGATGCAGAGACTGCAGCTACACTGGTTGTCTTTATTTGTATTTGTTCGTGTGTATGCGATAGGAGGGCTAAGTCATCATTTCACTCTTTCTAGAAAGTCTTATATTATTTTTATAATGAAAACAAATCTATTGAGGTTATACTAAATGATAATTGTAGTATGTTAGACTAATGCATATTTCTTCATGATATAATAATGACCCTTTTTCAATTATCTAAAAGTTTGATTTATCTTATGGAACATCCATAGATACCAAAAATATACACAATAAATAAAAAAAAACTATGAATAAAATGTAGTCAGATACAATTTTATATTAAAACTTACAAATAAAGGAACTGATCTTCTTTCTAATTTTCTTGTATTAGTCAGATGAATACCAGTGGAAGTGATTTTATTCTTGTGGATTTCTGTAATTTAGAAATAATAAAAGAAAAATAATGAATCTAACAATGTACCCTCCTTACTAATTATAGAAGAAAGGATATATTTCATAGGGATTCTTAAATTGTTTATAAACTGAAAGTTTAAGAAATACGTTGATAAGCCAATTAGTACGAAATGGTCAAAGATATTTACAATTGATTGATCACTAACCAGTATAATGTCGTATGTACTACACTAAGTTGTTAGATAGTAAGATTCAATGGGCAAATAATCCTAGACTTATATTTTTATGTTAATTTTCACTTGTCAGCAAGGTGAACGTGTACATTCTTGAAAGAACTGACTCGACCTACTAGTTTGTCCAGTCACAAAAATGGTCAGTATGTAAATACATTTATTATATCTGTAAATTTTTGCATTCAATTCGGTAAAACTGATAGTCATAATTGAGATGGTGTAAAAGATTTGTAGCTCAGGTGGATGAAGTTTGTACTGATGATGTTGTTCAGAAGAGCGATGAAAGCTCTACGACCAAACCATTCAGCTCAAAGGACAACTTATTTAGGCTACACTATTAAATCTGAATAAATCTCAGTCAATTTTAACAACGTAACAATAATGTTGGTTAATAATAAAATTTTAAGTCTTTGATGAAAGTTAACGAGTACAATTAAAGAAAGAAGGAAGAATAAAAATCTTGTAGTGATTCTTTTTGCTATGTTTGAAGCGATGATGAGTTCACCTAGTCTGAGAACGGAACAAAAACTCTGTGACCAAATACCAATAAGCTAGTTATTCTGATGCGTCCCAGTCCAGCTAACTACAGAAAGAAGTTCATGTTCGAAACGGGGAAATATATTCCGCAAGCAGCCAGAAGCACGAGCAATCCCGACAGACACAAATCAAACGTATATATATACAGCATAAAATTGTCATTGGGAAGCGTTACAAAATAGCATAGTAAAAGATACAACCAACCAATAGCGTTTAAGATCGTTCCAATTAGGAAATACCATATGAAAGTGAAAATGAGCGCTTTTGGCGCGAATACAAGAAATTCAACTTTTCAAAAATTAAATGATAAAAATAAGATATTTACCAAGTGAATTATGGGGGATCTAACATTCCCAACATTTTTCGATGAAATACAAGCCAGTAATTTGAACAGTAAGTATAGTCTTAACATTACACATGAGTGTACTATTATCACAATATGGATTATATTTAACATTTACTTGTTTAAATTAATCTAATTACTTACAAAAGAGTTTTAAGTAGTTTTATTCAAATTTTATTGAGAGTGCTTTTGAAATTGTCTAATCTTCACTCTTTTTGTTGTTGTTGTTGAACTGGCTGAAGACTGTAACACTACTTAAACACTATCATAAACACATTGATACTCAATATATGTAACCATAATATTAATGAGTTTACTAATAGGTATCTTTCTACCATAAGAAATTTAAGATCACAATTAAACTTTCTCTCCAAATGGTTCAATTAGTAAAAGTAAACTAAATTAATTTAATTAAGAAATTTGTAAAATTGTATTTTTATCATGGTCTAAAATTAGTAGAACAGTATAGATAGAGATGGATAGTGATTAGCAGTGGAATTCAGGATTCGCGTTTCGCCTCACTTGGGATTCATCAGCTAGAAAGACATACATCCGGAGCCAATACCGTTTTCTTCAAATATCATTACATTATCTACTTAGCTTTTAATTTCAGATAGCCACTAGTTGATGCAGTGGGGTGAGTTTTAATTTAGACATATTTGTTGTATTAAGCTTCCGACTGATGTTTAGGACTGTGCTGATTGCTTTGATATTGCTTAAAGTCACAAGCGATATAACCAGAGATAAATGTACATATGCTAATAAAACACTGATCAATCGCAGTTCTAAACATCAATGAGAACATTCAAACAACCAACACAAAAATGAATCAGTAGAAGGATAATTAAAATTCAAGAATCCCTGGATAGTGCTGTTAACAGATACGTCGTCCAATTCAAACAAACATACTTACTACAGGCTTATCCAACTAGTTATGTGAATGGAAAGACTGAGGAACGATTAAGATATAATTGAAGAAGTCCAATATAAAGATACACAAATCATTCGTATACATACGATTGTTATTCTGATACAAACAAGGGCATATACTTTGAGACTTTAAATAGCTCCATAATTGACTTCCTCCAGTAGTGTGTTTCATCCATAATTTCTTATCCAACTCTTAAACCTAAGGTTGTATGTGAACACAAACATTCAATTCACCTAAACTCATCAAGTCTATCAAGTGATTTTAATTCTAAATAATCCACAAACTCACAACATACAATTTTTATTCAATCCATCATATCATTAAACCGTAAAGTAGAAATCGACTATTCCATATTGTAAATTTTTATCTAATTCACGGGATTGTACAAGATCATTACTGACTTGTGTTATGTTGTCAACACGGTCAAGACATAGAGGTCACATATTTCTACTAGAACAGTGTGGAATTCAAAATTTACGATAAAAACAACTATTCAGTATATTTTATTATTTACCGATTTTCCTCTTGGTGAAAATCATAAACTAGTTTTTATTTTAATAGTTCAGATCATGAGTTAATTGAAACTAGACCACCATGGAAAACCTGGAAGCACTGGATGGTCGTTTCGTCCAGTGGTCTAATGGTTAAGCGCTTGCTTGCGAGACTGATAAGCGCTGGGTTCTAATCTCGTGAGGCGGGATCGTGGATGCACACAGCCGAGGAGTCCTACAATGGGACGAAACAGGCGTTCAGTGCTTCCAGGTTTCCATGGGTGATCTAACGTCAATCGGTTCATGATCCCAACCAAAAAGTTATTATTTGTCTAAACAATGTAGCACATGAATCGTTTAATTTAATGAATAAGATCTCAAAATTTGATTTACAATACGGAAATAGAAATAATGATAAGTTTTGAAACGTGAATGCTTTGTTACTATTATTGTGTTTAGTACTTCTTCAACCTTTCTTTTGGTAATTCCATCTTTACATTTAAAGGTTTGTTGTATATCGTCACGGTTGTAACTATTTGAAACCAGGAATGAATGTTCTTTTTCTTTATCATGAACTTAAACACTGAATTAAAATTAGTCAAGTGTATTTGAATTATTCAATAGTATGACCGGCGGTAACTCAAGGAGAGCTACAGGAATCTTCCTCGACACTATGGTGTACCTGAGAAAATCGTCAATATCATATGAAATGTATACGACGGACTACACTGCAAAGTCGTGAGTGGGGGAAAGCTGATGGACGCATTCCAAGTGGAGACCGGAGTCAGACAAGGCTACTTACTATCCTCATACTTTTTGTTCTGGTGGTTGATTGGATTATGAAGACCTTCATATCTGACGGGAAGCACGGGATAAAATGGACAGCTTGAATGTAACTAGACGATCTGAACTTAACTAATTACCTAGACCTCTATTCCATACACACCAACAAGTACAGACGATAACAGTCAATGTAGTAGACGCCCAGTAGACCTTAACATACATAAGGGAGAAACCAAAATCCTCAAATACAACACAGAGAACACCAACCTGATCAAATTTGATGGAGAACCTTTAGGAGAGGTGGAAACTTTCACGTATTTGTTTAGCAACATCGTTGATGAGCAAGGAGGATCTGATGCAGATGTAAAAGCGACGATAGGCAAAGCAAGGGAAGCATTCCTGTCATTGAACAACACATAAAACTCAAAACAACTGTCCGCAAACCAACATCAATGTCATAATCTTCAATGCAAACGTCGAGACAGTTTTATTGTACAGAATGGAAACTTGGAGAACTACCACAATCATCATTAAAAATGTACAAATACTTATAAAAAATTGTCTACGCAAGATAATCAGTGTCAGTTGTCGACCGGATACCACCATCAACAGCCTACTGCAGGAGAGAGCAAACCAGAATCCAGGTGAAGAGGAAATTCGGAAAAGACGTTGGAAGTGTATAGGACATGCATCACGGAAATCACCAAACTGCATCACGAGAGAAGCGCTAACCTGGAATCCTGAAGGGAAACGAAAAAGTGGGAGGCCAAAGAACACACTGCGTCGAGAAATGGAAGTAGGCACGAAAAAATAAATGGCGATTGGAAACAAATGGAAAGGACTGACCAAGACAGAGCTGACTGGAGAACGGTGGTGAACAGCCTATGCTTCTTCACTACGTAGGTTAATAGGCATAAGTAAGTAAGTAAGTATGGTCATTGATAAAAATCCGATCGACAGACAGTGAGGAATAGGATGTAAATTCTTGTATCCCAATCTACTATAATACAACTACATAACGAGATTAAACTAATCGGAAATAAGTTCAAAATAATAGCAGGAGATGTCATTTTGAAATAGATCGAATATAGAAAATATGACTTAAAAGGGATCAATAAAGTTTTAGAATTCACCGTATGGAATAATATTGAAACTCAAGATTCTATGAGAGGAAAGGAAATCAATGTATATACATTAGTGTGATTATTTTGACAAACGTAGACCACCGTCTGCAAACATTGACGATGATTATCTTGTGAACCGTTACTTGGAGGTCTATACCTTTTGACACAGCTTAACTCAATAGTGAATGATTTGGTGAATTGATTCCATGTATTGGTTTGTCTATTTCCAACTTTCTCTCAGTTCAATTTTATGTCAACCAGAACAGAATATCGATATTGGCAATGGTCGGTCGTCTGTAACATATGTCACACCCACAAATCTACTAACAGAACACAGGTTAAAATGGTCGGCTATGAGGGTTAGAGATACTACCCAGTTTCTAAAACCGAGATTATTGAATTGTGATTTGAATCTAATAGTCTATTAGATGAATAACGAATGTTTTTTCACCACTATGGTACAACCTTGATGGATGAATGATTAAGGAAAGTCAGTACGGTAAATAGATTGTACAACTACACTATTAAGTAGAAACAGATTAGTTATTGTGTAAATTGTCTAATTACTAGGCATCTA